ACGGAGACAGAGAAATATAGAGAACTAAATTGTACCGGTAGATTTTCTTTGTGGGTTCGCGTTCTTCTCGCGCGTTTCTCGCTAACTTTCTCTAGCTCTCGCTAGAGCAGCGTTCAAAGGCAGCGAAGAAACGGCTCCAAGAACGCAAGCGTATCATCGATACCACTGCGGCTCACGCGGAAACGCTGGATTCTTCGTAATCGAAGATGACGAAGCGACGGAGAATGAGAATAAGAGAGTCGAATGGAGACGGAGGACGAAGAGCGTTATAGAATATTGTATTATAGGCGGGTGTGTATTTGAAGATGAGTTAGGAGGTCGAAAGCCCCCCCCCCCGAGTAGTTTGGTCGAGATTGCGACTTAAAGCAGGAGTGCATCCGCGAAGCAGATGCGAGAGGGATCTGGCTGGCGAAGAAGGTTAAAATTAAAGTAAAACCGAGGCCAGGCGCGTGCTGGCAAAGGGCGCAACAGAGTAGAAACGGTTTGCCGTCGCTCTGTTTCACCGTCGACGGGGGGCTTCTTCTTGGTCGCGCGCACGCGCTCTCCTTTAGAAACCACTCGAGATGATCGCGGTATGTTAAAAGCCGCATTCCCCGTTACCCTTGGCGTTCGGCTAAAGCGACGAGCCGCGTGGAAACCGCAGACGCCGCCGCCCGACGACGTTTCCCAAAAGAATCACCACACCACACCACACCGTGCCACTTCAAAAGCTTTCCAGACTCGCCTCGTCTCGCCTCGTCTCGTCGCGTCTCGTCTCCTCTCGTCCTCCTTGCTTTCTTTGCGATATCCGCCGAGCCCATCCTAATTGCCATATCCAGCCTACCTAACTTAGTGAAGTGCGTCCCTCTGCGTTTTTCACAGAGATCGACGGAGGATCCAGGACGCTCCGCTCGTAAATGCAAGAGAAGAGAGGGAAGGGGAGAGAAGAAAGAAAAGGAAAAAAACAATCCGCTCGACCTTTTGAACCGTGCGAGTCCTTCGGCGAAAGATTACGCACCGCGCGGTGCACTCGTCGCGAGCGTTATCGCGGCGACCGTCGTTGTTGGGCGCAATAATGCCGCATAAAAATAACGATCCGACCACAGTTTTTATCGTAGCGTAAACCGAGAAGAAAAAAACCAGCGACAACTTTCCATTCGGTGGGTGTGCGATGCACTGTCACCACCGACCAACGAGTCGTCATCGCCACCAGAACCACCAGCACCACCACCACCACCACGGTCGGGGAGAATGTCGCGTGCAAACCGCCTCGACGAACGGTTCGATGCGAACTGAAACACGGATAATGCTGGCCTGCGGATGATCGTGCGCGCAGAGGTGAAGATACGCGTGAAATTATCGGAGAATTCGCGGCACCCGAAACGCGCGCGACTAAATAGATATGTACATAAGGACTATTATCGTTTCTGCTGTATCGCGCGTAGACAAAACTAGATTACAAGTATGCGCGCGTTGTCTAGGTCAGGGTCGGCGGCCGTCGTGTATCAATGCGTCTCTTTCGATACCGTGGCCGAGGGAGCGCGTGCCACGCTCGTCAAATGCGCAACACCGTTCCTTTGCCGAAAACGGCCGACAACGTTGACGCATCGCGAAATACGACGATACCAGGCCCTCGATACTTGCCGTTGTTCCAGCATCGCTGCCAAACCGTGGATCTTGGCGCGATTATGCTCACACGCCGCCGATTAAATTTAAGAGAAACGGAACGATCGTACGAAGAAGAAACGAAAGATTGGTCGTCGCTCGTCGCTCGTCGCTCGCCGCCAGCGACCCGTGCAACCACCGATACCACTTGTCGCGGAGATAACCGCGAAAATTCGTACGATCGGCTATTATATATGTAAGTATGTAGTCACCTATCCAGTTGCCGCGACGCGACGGCTGGGTTGCGCCGAGTACGTTTCCATTCGTGTTTCGCGCGGCCAATCGAACACGACGGCAAGGTTGATCCTCTATTTACGTACATATGAATGCTTCGCGACAATCGTTGTAACTTTCACTCCCTCGATGGCAAAACACTCGCCCGCGTACTTCTGCTATTTTTTTCCTTTTCCCGACCAATTACCGACCAATTACCGACGAGTAAGGGGGTACCGTACCAACCACGAGAGAAGCCCTGAAACACGATGCGGTGCGTGTCCTTCCAATCCTTCTCGATTTATCGTTTTTCCAAACATCCACGGAGCGTAACGCGACCCGGCGGTCCTCCCCTCGGAGAAGCCTGGGGACAGCCACCGAAAGAGAAAGAGAGAAAACGAGCGAGAGGGAAGAGAACGGCTGTGTTTCGTCCTCGTGAACGCGAGTGCGAGTGTTGCATAGGCGGGAGGCGAAGAAGACGCGGAGAAACTAGCCGTGTATTTAGCAGAACGGATCAGAAAAAGTGGACGGATCGGAAAAAGAGTGCTACTCACTTGCGCTAAGGCTTGCAGTGGCGGTGAGCTGATGCTGCGTGGGCGTCGACGCTGGGTTCACGGTCTGGCATCTGGACGGAGCGGCGTACTGGGTGGTCAGAGAGTCGTTCGAGGGCGAAGCGTAGTTCCAGGACGAGGCCTCGACCGCCGTGGCTCCGACTCCGGTGCTGGTCTGCTGCGTCGAATAAGACGGACTGTATCCCCGAAAGCTCACCCTACCGCGAAACGGTTGCAAAAAGCCTGGCAATGGCTGATGAGTCACCGTGCTCGACGACTTGCCGCTGTTGGCACCTCCGTAATCCTCCGAGATGGCAGGAAGACCGGTGCCCAAGCCTGTACGTTTCGAGAATCGTGCGTGACTCTTCCATTACATATCTAAGTAAGTACCTACTTCCTTCTTCACCACGACCGACGACCGACGACCGACGACCGACGACCGACGACCGACGACCGACGACCGCCGTCAATTCCGTGGGGCTGGTGGTCATGTAAGGAAGGGCATAAGCGGCTCCGGTTCCCGCCGCGTCTGCCGTTGGCATGCTGCCCAAGCCGCTCATCGAACGATACAACGAACTGAAACAACGACCAAACGTAAACCTAAAACGATCTCGTCATCTTGCAGAAGCGTGAAACGCGATCGCAGGGAGACACGCCCCCACTCCTGGGAATTAATCGTCTCGGAACGAACCGATCTACGCTCGCGACCAGCTGGACACACACGTTCGGCCTTTCGGAAGGCAGGCAACCTCGGCGACGCCGCGGGCCAGTTCAGGTTCCGCGAGAGACCGGAAACGAGAACCGTTCTTCTCTCCGATTCATCGAGCCGTAAATGCGGGCGCGTGCCAACACGGGAGGTTTTTCGATGTTCTTTTCCGAACAACAGCTACCCGGAACACAACTACTCCATTACCATTGCCATTACCGTGCCAGCCATTACCGCTACCGTTACCATTAGCATCGAGAACCCTCCAGCAGTACCTGAAAACTCTCGCCGCCTCGGGCGAAAACGTTTCAGACAGGGCTTCCTAACTTCCTTCCTTCCAACTCGAGCTCGTCGCGGACAATACTAAAGTCACGAAAACGCCGATACGACCGAGCAAAATTTCCTCTTGGCAATATCCGTTGCGCAACTGCAGCAGAACTGGACGCACGCGTGATCAAACTCGCGAGGCTCGTGCGAGAAATCCTCCACCCCGATTTCGAAAGCAACGCGTCGTCGATTCGAACGTCACCGATGTACACGACAGATAGAGAGAGACAGCAATTGGTCGAGAAATCGTGCGCGTCTCTTTATCGCGGAGAACGCGAACACGTTGTGGATCGCAAAGCAAAGCTTGGAGAACGCGTGACCTTGCCGCTTTCCGCGGCTCGTCGGACACGTACCGTTCGATCGGTACGTGCTCCTCCAACGATTCGCGCCTTCTCCCGGAACGGTTTCGCGCCAAACTGAGTCTAGCCACGGTGCGGTGGTATTCGTCGTAAAGGAAACATCGATAACCGCTCAACCACGTCCTTCGCGCGCGTCTTTCACGAAGAACGTTGAGAAAAGTCGAAAGAATAAACGGCGGACGTATGTAAATCGCGTGAAACAAGTTGGAAGGAAAGTCGCGTCACGGCTGGCTGCGCCTCCCGTCAACGCGGAATCGTTTCGGCCTCCTCTTCTTCACCACCTGCAAGGTGGTGCAAGCAACTTCCGCGCGGAAACGCGAGCGTAGCACGTGCTGCGCACTCCGTCGTAATTTCTCTCCGTCAAGACCACCACCGCCACCTTGTCGCGCACGGACGCGCCTCGTTTCACCAGCAGCAGACACGGCCACGCGACATTCCCTGAACCGTGCGCGCCTTTAATAGCTCCTCTTCCGACCAAGCCGGGCGTACCAAGCTAGTCGGCCCTTTTCTACGCGTCATCCGATATCGATACGTCTCGCGCGCCGCCACCGATACCACTTCGGAGAATCTCCGTTCTCCGGTACGCACCCCGCACACCAATTCCTACTCTATATACGATACGTAACCGCGCGCACACCGTCCCGCCCCGCGACAACTTTACTTCAATAACCTAACGCGATCGAATTTCTTCCTAGAACCGAGACCGAGACCGAAACGCTCTCGATCGCGTCGCCAAATCCTCCATTTTCTCGTTTTTTCCGTCTCTATGATTCTCCAAACTACCGTCTATCACTTGGCAAGGGAGAGAAAAGGGAGAGAAAAGCTTAAGAAAAGGAGGCGGTTCGCGAGGAATGCAGATATCGCGAAACCCAATCTAGAAGGTCGGTGGCGACGGGGTTATAGCCCCTGTTACCGGATCGCTATCTGAATCCAGCGAGCCGATAAGCCGCTTCTCACGACAGCAGCACGGCCGCCGTCCGTCGCGAGAGAAGATCCCACCGAGAGAAAACCCGTGACCCCACGAATGTCACACCGGCGCCTCTCGCAGACCTCTTCCACTAGCCGTCACTACCACCTTCGACCTAAAGTCTCGGAGAGTCGAGACGTTTATTTACGAGCAATGTTTTCACAATTCTTATCGGTTTCCCATTTACTTTGTTTTCGTTTCGCGTCCGCGACGAAGCACCGATAAAAATGAAACGTCGTTCGAACGGTACGTGTTCAACGGCTAACGCGGAGGGGGGAGGGCATCGCAGCGGGTTGCCGCGAGGGGCTAAGTGAAACGTGGCAGGACAACTCGTAGTCGTGCTCGTAGTTGATGCTAGGTGGAGTACCGGAACGTACCGATCGTTACGAACACGGAGAAACGCCGTCCAAAGCGACGCGCGTTCCTTCGGTCTCGTGATAACAGTAAAACCAAGGTACAGACGAAAGATTTTAAACGAAGCAAGACAACTTACTGCATGCAGCCCTCTCCTGGTTCCAACTTCTTCCTGACTCTCTTTCTTTCTTTCTTTCTTTCTTTCTTTCTTTCTTTCTTTCTTTCTTTCTTTCTTTCTTTCTTTCTTTCTTTCTTCCTTTCTTTCTTTCTTTCTTCCTTCCTTCCTTCCTTCCTTCCTTCTTCCTTTCTTTCTTTCCTTCCTTCCTTCCTTCCTTCCTCCCTTCCACCCTCCCGCCCTCCCTCCTTCCCAATCACCCGCTCTCCCGCCCTTCTTGCCGCTGTTTCTCCGCTTTCGTTGTTTCGTCCACCTCTTCGACGGCCAACTTTTCGATCGAGCGGATGGACGAAAGAAGGTCGTGCGAAAGAAACGACGCGGTCGTGTCACCGAACAGAGAAACGTACCGGCCGGAATATAATCCGACAGTGTGTGCACAAAACGTCCAAGCGAATGGCGTTAGGAGGACCTCGAACGTGGTCAGGATTTCCCCTTCCGCGGATCTCTCCCTTCCTTCGTGTCTTTTCTCCGTTCGTTCGCGTCCCCCCTCGCGATACCTCGCTCCCGCCCTCGATTAACGCTCCTCTCTCGAGCATTCCTCGTCAATCCCCACCATTCTCGTGGCAAGCTGCTTCTACGAACTACATACCACCGATCCTGCCGCTACCTCTACCTCTACCTCTACCTCGTCGATGCACCTACTTCTCCTCCTGTCCCTCTTCCTCCATCCCAATCGCGCCCCCGAACTATCGAAAAACAGACCAACAACTGCACGTGCATAGGCGCGCAGAGAGTGAACGAGGAAAAGTATTGCCTCGGTTTGTACCATAGTTTCTCCGTCGAGACGTAGCGTAAATAGTGCCGAGGCAAAAACGCGCTAAGGAAAAAACCGAGAACACGCGTCTCGCCTTACTTTCATTCACCACGATCGCTACGTTTCCTCTTTTTTCACTCTTTTTTTCTCTACGCGACTCCTACTATGGATATACGTATGTATGTACGCGTTCCACGTTTTATAAGTAAACGGTATACATATATGTACGCGCTGTTCGAAAACCAATAGGAAATTACACTCTGTCTCTGACTCTGTCACTGTCGCACTCGCAACCGCGCGCCGCCGTTCTCGAAGCTCTTCCTCGATGTCGGATGTCGAGTCACGCGATACCGAAAGGTTTCTTGGAACGGAATGGGTACGACACACACGCACACACACACACAGACTCTCTCTCTCGTGCTCTCTCCTTGCTGGACTGTAAACCCTCGGATGATTCACGACGAACTTTGCGTCCAAGATCAACGATTACGATGCGCGCTCGCTCTCCGCTTTCCTTCCGATGGCAAACAAAACGACGGGTGAATAACGAACGAGGTTACTATAAAGCGAGTTCGAAGAGAGAGAACAGGGAGAAGAGAAGGCGAAAACAGAGAACGCGCAGGTTGCGAGATCGTAGACGGTAACCGACGACGAGCAGGCTTTGCGTCATTGGATCGCGCGCTAATCTCGACAACAAGATATCCCGGCGCAAAAAGAGAAACGAAACGTAGATTGTCCTCTGCACCCGAACTTTAGATAGCGAAATTCGAAGGTCGTGGCCCGTGCACGCGCACGCCGCATGAGGAAATCTACAAAGGGTAGCGCGCGACGGTCTCGCGTTATTCCCGAGAAAGGTCCTCCCTTTCCCGTCTTCCCATTTCACCGTAAAATCCAACGCGAGCAAGCCACTCGACTAATCGACGCGACTCCCGATAACGCTCCGTTCTCCCGCTTCGAGACGGACAACGCGCGATCGAAGAATCGCTTCTATCGGAGTCAATAAACTCTTATCGCGACCGCGTAAAAAGAAGCGAGTTCGAGCGAGAATCGATTCTCGACCGACCTATCGATCGCGATCGAAACTGAGAGCTGCTTTTAGCGAATCGCGCGCGTGTACCAAAGAAATCGGCAAATAAGAAAAGGACGCGTTGTTCATTTTCACGAAATGCTGTTGGCATAGGGCCGAGGAGGCGTCACACTGTTTTCCATCCACGGTTTAGTTTTATTTTTCGTTTTGTATCGCCTACGTATACAATAGGTCGGGGGACACGCGGCAGAGGGGCATCTCCTAAGCCCTCGTGCAAATAAAACCGTTTTGCAAGCGGTGGTAAACCACGTAACCTCGTG